GGACTCCGGACTAGGTGCGTTCCTCTAAGTCTTCCTACCAATATGACCATGTTGCGAAAACAAGGTTAAAAAACTTCTATAAAATATGCAGGCAGATTCCTTCTGAGGTAAAATCTGCCGATATCCGTTTGCTTATACATACTGTATACCTGCTGGAATCAACAGATGTAATTCTATGCTTTGCAACTTCGAAACACTTTGCCTGATGTTTATGTTCCGTAAAAAATCATGTAAAACATCTGCCACAAGGCTAATAAAAACAAATATTTGCTTTACATCCCTTTGAGGAAGCAAAGATATGAAAACACTAAGAAGTCCGTTTAAGAATGTCTGAAGAGTGGAGATGGATTAGATTTGCTAAAATGATGGCAGTAACTATGGCAATAGCCTTAATAAAGAAATAAAAAAACATTTCGCAGGACTTTTACTACCTGCCTAACTTATGATTAAAGAAAGTTGAAAAGCGATGCGCAAAAGATAGTCAAAAGTTCTAGCCATGCACTATCCCTCTTAACTACCTTCCTTTTCTAGCGATATTTGGTATACTTTATTTAATGAAGCATGACAAATATAGGAATCCTGACAGAGTCAGAAGGCTGTACAGCGCTACAAAGAGAAATTGATTATATCTCATCTCCAAAAGACCAAGATCTTTGGGTGACGGAAATCATCCAATCTCATTATCAGACACCTTTATACAGAATGGCATTTATCAAAGCAATGTTGTCTAGGGAGAACCTTCGAAACCCAATAACTCTGAATTTTACATATTTCGAGAGTTTACAAAGGGACTCATTGAACGGTCAATCACATGAGAAGTAGTGATTTTCTTATATGTTGGGCGTTTAGCAAAGCGGTTCGTCTTTGAGATCCCTGCGTTCCTCATCCTAAGTCGATGGGTACTGTGATTGTTTGTTGCGTAATTAACATCTCCAGAAAAATAATTCTGAACTTAAAAGTTCCATTTCCGACAGAAGTAGGTTCTGAGACTGTTGTATAAGAACCCAAGCACCCTTGCACGTTTAAGGTGATTTAAGGAGTGCTAGTTGAGCTCACGACGCAATTCAAGTTAACTTGGCCTTTCCTCTCGAAAGGTTTTCTCACCCATACTAGGCTGCATTTTTTTATTTCGCCCAGTACACACAACGGGGTTCGATGCCGAATTGTTACCAATTATGAGTGTCAAAAATTCATTTTCTGAATTTTGAACGCCAAGGAACTGAGACTTGGCGGACACCATGCTCGCTGTGTTCAATCTACCTGCTAATAATAGTAGACGCCATTCAAGAGAACTATTCGTAATCCATTCACCCAAGCACATCGGGGCCCCATTTTACTCTTTCGTCCGCCACCCGAATCTGGATAAAAGCCCAGTTTTGGAATATCAAGTCAAATTGTATTTTCCAGCAAGATCAGATAATTATCTCATCGTAGGCTGATAAACCATCAGTGACCCAAAAAGCAAATTTGCAATGCCGATTACCTCACCCTATTGGCATTCACGACTTGGTAAGCCAAGTTTAGTCTGAGCGTCATCATAATAAATAGTTAATTACAATGGGGAGCATAAATGAATTCGATGATATTTTGTAGACCCTGGGACTTAATGAAACTATTCGTAGATTAAACGTTTAGCCAAAGCCATATGGAGCAAATGAGCTGCCAAACTTTTATTAGCAGTCTTTAGTCCTCCTCAAATCTAAATGATGCTTAATAGGACTTGTAAGATTCAGCCAACTGAAATACATGTCCATTCAGTTGAGACGGTCGTGAGAGAACTATGGTTGAGGTTATTTCATATAAATAGCCTCCAAACGGCTTTGATGTGATAGTTTTTGACCTTAGAGATTCGTTGGCCTCGTTAACACATCACAATCGGCATCTATATGCTCAGACTAAGAGGCCCTTGCCCACTGCTGCAAGACTGCCAGGTCTAGGAGTTTAGATGTGCTGACTCTCCTCAAACACTAATCTGATTCATATCTTGTCGGCGCTCACGTCATCGACTACTGTCCACAACCCATGGTTGTTGTCCAGCCTATAACGACTTGACCCATTCTAGCGAGGTAAGCATACAATTTACTTGACGCGTTTTTATTTACTATTACAATTTTTGTGGAACTCTTCAAACTACGGAGACACATGAGGCCGCAATAGTAAATACGCGAAGCTTTTTCATGTAGCCAGAGCCGGATACGAAGGGTTGACACTATGGTAAGAATACAGACACTTTCCGAACCCTGTTAGTTCAAAGCCAAAGGTAGTATTCCGCAGTAACCCATGCAGGAAACGTCCTCCATAGCCGTTCGAGGAATTTTTGATCCCTGCGGAGCCAACATTTTAGGACGAGTGTTAAGCTAAAAAAACAATGTCATTGCCGCTTGAGAGGTTTGATTTCCAACAAGTGCATTGGAAGCTATAATAAAAACAGGGAACCACTTTGGGGCTCGCCTTATGAATATCTTTAGATAGGAATCAGATAATGTTGATACAAACGACACCACACAAGACTTGTTTTTAGCAAGAACTTCCGCTTTTTGCCTCATAGTGCGATAGATAATCGCCTAAATAAAATTCCCAAGATGTTAAATCAAGGCATATTTTTGAGAAAAAAGAATGATCATGGACTAAGGGCATTTACATTGGTAGGTGAGTTTTTGTTAGATACATTTGATCATTTGCGCTTGAAAGGCTTCCAGGAGCCATTTGGTTTCCCCACGCACCTCAACTTATCCGTTTTTACGCGACGTCTCTTTTCAAACTTAAGTTGTCGCTTTACTCTGGCGTTGGCTAGCCCAGCATATTTAACCACTGCCAGAGCAGCCTTGTTCTGACTGTCGAGATCTACCAATGCAGGGTCAGTGTTTGTAGCTGATTTAGTGCTACAGGCTTGCAGAACGCCAGCAATCTGGGAGCGCCGATGGTCTGATGCCTCACTTGCCCAGCCAGTGGAACGAAGTCCTGGCACACTCAAACGTCCGCTTGTAGTAGAGGTGCTAGGTGTATCTGGGCTGTTAACGTTGCCTGCAGATGGTGCTGAAAAGCCAGTCGAATGGTCGTTGATCGAAGTATATGCACGACCACTATGCTTCCGACCCTTGTGATGCTTGAAAAGTGATTCCACAGCCTAGAGCGGATAATAATTTGGAATGAGGAAAAAAGTGAGCGTAAGGTGTGTTTCAGGAAATAATAATCGTATGAC